AATTTCCATTTTGCCGTTTGTATATCGACTGAAGAAGGCTGCCGAGAAAGCCACCAATTATCGCACATGTGTCTTGCTCTTCAACCCAAGACAATGTTTACCATCTTAATAGAATAGTTTACCATCTAAGAAATATACAATTTTTCACATGTTAAGAGTGAGTTCGGAGAATTTTTTGCAACATGGCATTTGCAACCTTCGTCTCTGGCAACATTACTCTTATTGAACACACACAACCCGCACATAAGGGGAATCTACGACGAGGTTTCGGTCCGACTTGGACCATTTGTAAGTGGCCCAATTCGGACCGAAACTTCGTCGTGAACTCCTCTCTCTCTCTCTCTCTCTCTCTCTCTCTCTCTCTCTCTCTCTCTCTCTCTCTGTCCTATGTGCGGGTTATTTGTGTATTGTTCCAGTCACGGTATTATTCTAGTCACGGTATTGTTCCAGTCAAGGTACTGTTCCAGTCACGGTATTATTCTAGTCACGGTATTGTTCCAGTCAAGGTACTGTTCCAGTTACGGTATTGTTCCAGTCACGGCATTGTTCTAATCACGGTATTGTTCCAGTCACGGTATTGTTCCAATCACGGTATTGTTCCAGTTATGGTATTGTTCCAACCACGGTATTGTTCCAGTCACGGTATTGTTCCAGTCACGGTATTGTTCCAGTTACGGTATTATTCCAATCACGGTATTGTTCCAATCACGGTATTGTTCCAATCACGGTATTATTCTTTTATATACTTCATTACTATTACTGTACTATAAGCCAAGTCCTCTGGCTGTGGGGGAGAAAAAAAAAAGCCAGATACAAAAGCTGGCAGTATACAATCCCATCTCATTCCATTCACAGTAAGTACACTCGTGGAATATCAAACATTCCCTCTACAATTATTGCCTAAAATTCCCTGACCTCACATAAATCAACGAAAACACAATATTTTGAGCGTAGAATCAACGGTATTACAATTCCATTAATATTGCACAGTGGATTATTCACTAGCGTATGTAATTCACAATGCGTAGCTCTGTAATGCGTAGCTGTATAATGCGTAGGTGTATAATTTATATAATAACGTGGAAATGTGAACAAGGGAGCAGGGGCCGGTGGCGCTGTTCATTTGTTTAATCCTGGAGGGGAACCCAGGGACGGCCTGCTTTGTTTGTTAGTTTTAATAATCTCTT